TTCATTTGTGCACGTGTCTTCTTTTTTTGTTTGCATGTTTTCTCTGTTGCTGTCGGCCACCGTAGAGAGGTAATGAAATACAACAGACACTGACAGGCCTCTGCGTCTGGCTTACTCTGAAGAACTACTGAGTGGGAAGAGACAACCAGGTGAGGAAAACTGTTCTTATCAGGCGTGGAGCTATAGCGGGGCTTGGGGGGAGGTTGCCCCCTGGCCCGGGTCTGGAGGTGCCAGGGAGGGAGGAATGGTTTCAAGTCGCTTTAATGTCTGAAAGTGCGCCCTCGCCTGTTCAGAAAGGTTTATGTAAAGTTAAATTACTGTCCCTCAATGGAATATGAAATGAAATGAAATGAAATGAAATGAAATGAAAATGAAATGAAATGAAATTTTATTCGAACATGATACAAATATAAAATAAAATAGTGCACAGTAACAAGAAGTGCATAAGAAAGAAGAGAAAATACAGATTTTTTTGTTTCTGTTAACATATCATGCTCAAAATATATGTAGTAGTAGTGTTGCTGCTAAATACATAAACTTGTCTTCTTGTCCATGCAGTCTAAGGCTGATTCTGACCATCCAGAGTCAAGATAGGAGGAGAAAAATGTGGCAGAGCCTCTTCATGTGTGGAAGACCACAGGATTTTTTATTAAATCTCCATGGCGATTTCCCATCACCCATTGCTTTCTCTAAAAATATAGCTATATTGACTTCATCCGGTGAATAACAATCTGCTTATTTTATACTGGAGTTTCTTCAATCATACAGACCATAAGGTAAACAACATTTACTTACAAATTGTGATTTATATGATTAGATAGAAATGTAGCAGCTGAAAGAAACCTTTACATTTACGTCAATAAAAATAATGAAAATTACCTGAGGAATTTTAAGGATGAACTAGCCAGCATACCTAGGTGGGACCCATGTGGGGGAAAGAAGGGCTTGATATATAGGTCCCATATGGGTTTGTCCGCGGGTTCCACGATGGCCCCACATGGATTTGCCCATGTAGGGCCACAGCCCACATGGGCCCTACATAGGCCCTAAATGGACAAACCCATGTGGGCCACCACCATATAGGGCCCATGTAGGGCCCATGTGGGCTGTGGCCCTACATGGGCAAACCCGCGGACAAACCCATATGGGACCCATATGGTCTGCCCTCCTTTTCCCCACATGGGGCCCACCTAGGCATGCTGGCAGGGTTTAGACATTAATAAAAATATTTTATTAGTAAGCTTCAACCAGCTGGGATCAGAGTAGCTATCAGGATGAAAACACCTAAATAATAATTAAAATAAAATAAAAAATCAATGAAGCTTTTAAAAATATTAGACCACGCACTGTTGAAAACAATAAATATTGTAGGATTTTTTATTTTTTTTTACAGAAAATCTGTCTACCGCCATCCTGTGGTCAGACCCTGTAGTTACACACTTCGGAATTGTTTAATGATGAATTAGATTAATGATTAATCTATAAGCGATACTTGTGTAACTGAAGGACAAAATAAAAAACAAACTTTTTAAAAAATAAATAAATAAAATAAACCAAAGATTATTTAATTTTTATACCAGAAAGTCTCTTTACCGCCCTCATGTGGTCGCAGTCGATAATGACCCGGCTAGAAAGAGAACGCTCAAACGATGTTGAGAAGAATGACGGATGGAAAAAAGACAAATGTGGGCACAAATTTAAGAAATTATCTAACACACAACTTCTTGTTTCTATATAGAACAAGAAGTTGTGATAGAAATTTAAAAATAAATTTAAAATTTCTATCAATAATAATTTTATTTTACAGAAGTTCTAAACGAATCAAACTGATGAATGCAGTCATTCTTTAGTCACCACCGCCCTCGTCACGGCGTGAGACAGAAACGTCATCACTCTGCGCCGCAGCCCGGCTGGAATCAGCGTGTCGCCGTAAATAAACCCGTCAGAAGCGGCTGATGGTGTCTCCGGTAAAATATGTCGGTGTTTCATGATGAGGTGGAGATTGAGGACTTTGAGTTTGACGAGGAGACGGAGGCCTACTACTTCCCTTGTCCCTGTGGAGACCGCTTCTGTATAACCAAGGTGAGCGGAGCCTCAGCGCCTCTACCCAAACTCCATATAAAATCTGTTAATTTTAACATTAACTGACCTGTTGGAAGACACACACTAACCTGCTCACAGAAATATCTCATATTATTGTTAAGTAAAGTGTTTAGCTTGATTCGGCTTCAGCTATTGAAACATTTCTCCACTTATGTGGAAGTTATGTTATTTTTGCTTTGTATGTTATTTTTCTGTTATAAAACCTTTTTAGCCGAATTTTAAATGAATCCTCTTATTTCACTTCATTTTCCACGTTATTTCTGTTCTTTACATCCCACTAAACTCTAATCCTCCTCTATACATCATGCTGGATACATCTATGTTGTGGCATTTATTATAATATGTTGACCTTTGACCTGCTGGTTGATATTGAGTCCCTGTTTATGTTTTTAAAGGAGGACCTGGAGAACGGGGAGGAGGTGGCCACATGTCCCAGCTGCTCGCTCATCGTTAAAGTCATCTATGATAAGGTAGCTGACTGGAACAAACTTGACCTTTGACCTTTCCAGGGGGTGGTTATGACAACTCTGAGTGTGTTGACCTTTAGTTTCAGGCGCTGACCTTAACTTCGGGTTCAGATACTCTGAGCTGAAGTCGGCGGTGAAATCTGGAGCAGATAACTGAACCCAGACTTCCTGAGGAAACTCAGTTTGTTGAACTTGGTTTCTGTTCTGAAACGTTTTTTTTGTTCTTCAGGAACTTTTCATGTCTGGAGAAACCATTGAAGCTCCATCAGAACCTAAACTGCAGCGAATTCAGACCTGAACCAGAACCTGGACTCAACTCAAACCAGCGGACACGCTCTGAGTGGAAACCTCACCCTCCATGTGTGCTGGTGGTGCGTTCATGTTCCATGGGAAACGCCAGACCCTCTGAGAAGATGAAAAGTTTCTCCAGGATTCCCTGAACCCGTTTGTTCAGACCAGAACTGTGTCATGTTGACACCGAGTGCTGCATTAGACAGCAGACAGATATGATACTTTATTTTTAAATAAATCTAGTTAATGTGTTTCTGCTCCTCTGGAGTTGATATTTACACTTTCTAAACCTTTTAGGAGTTTTTCAGCACTTCCAGCTTCAATTCAGACTTTCTTGAACTTTGTAGATAAAATTTCCTCACATTTAAAAGCAAATTGTGTTGACTTTACAGCTTCAGGATCACTTATACAAGTGAGGATTTATCTGTCCCAGTTTGAAAATGAAATGAGAAAAAACAACTGGAAACAGAAACAAGATTTTTTTTAAAAACGCAGAGGTACAAAAAACAGTCCTTAAAAACATCACGTGGACCCAGAATTTACCTGTCTGGTTACAGGATGTCTCCCTCTTGTGGAGGAACCTTGAACTGCAGCATGAATTTATCAGAGGACGGTGACGTTCCTGCAACAACTTTAGCATCAAAATATATCGAAGGAAGTGAGAGTGTATGAAATGGACTAAATTATAATAAAAAAGTCATTTTTAATGATTAAGTAGCTTTAATTTGCAGCTGAGCTGAATTTAAGGAATAAAAGTCATTTATCTGGTTTCTGTTCATAATAATCAGATCTTTGTTTTGTTTTAAAGTTCTGGTTCTGCAGAACCTCTTAGCTTTACATGTCCTCTAGGTTTGAACAAAATTAATTTTTACGTGAAAACCTTAAAGGTGATTTATCCTTCAGAATCCATATTTTGCATCTTGTTTGGGTTTAAAGTGACGGAGCTTTAAAACATCCTGAAACTCTCGTTTCTGTCAGGATGATTTTAACCTTCAAACGCTGAAATATCCTGACAGGTTTTGTCTCGTCTCCAGGTGGAAACGAATAATTAGAGGAAATGAGGAAACGGAGATGGAAACGTTTGAGAAGCGATAAAATCAGACGAACAGGAAACAGTTCAGCACTGAACAGTTCCTTTGGTTCATTTTTTGTTCAAATGGAATTAAAACCCAGTAAATGTTTGTGTTTGTTCCCAGATCAGATTATTTAGGTTTAAAGTTGAATTTAATGACTGTACTTTGAATAGGCCACTGACATGTTTTTAAAGAAACAGAACAAAAGACAAACACGTTTTTCCTTTTGCTTGCAAATAACTCATATAATAAATACAGTTATTTACATGGAGCCATAAATATGAAATCCCTCGCAGCGTCTCATTGGCTGAACCCCCGGCGTGTCTCAGCGTCTCATTGGCTACATCTGCTCCTCCTTGTTAATGATGTTCTTCAGCAGCGTGACCAGCGGTTTCTGCCTCCCTTCCTCCCAGCTCTTCATGAATCCTCCATAGCGTTTCCCCGCCGGCGGCCCGCTCCAGCGGAAGTGCTTCATCTTGTAGGAGCCGTCCTTCTTCTCCTGCAGCAGCTGCTCCTCCTCCTCCTCGTCGCTGCGCCTCCTCATCTCGGCGGGGAACGCCTCAGCCGACTCCTCCTGCACGCCGTTGGATGTATAGACCTTGACGGGGCGGCGTTTGCGGCCGACCGGCTTCCCCCAGCGGAAATGCTCCATGGAGTAGGAGCGCTTGGCCTGAGGGGCGGTGGGGTCGGGGGGCAGCGACAGGTGGGCGTCACCTGGGACCAGGGGCGTCTCGGCCGTCAGGTCGGAGCGGCAGGCGTGGAGACAGTCCTACCAACCCCACAGGGTCAGATTTACTGACTTTATCCAACTAAACCTTAATACTTATCTAAAGTTATATTATAGTAACTACAAAATAAAATTTAACTTTTAATAATAATAAACATTTAACTGGACCACATCTGAAATATTGAGTTTGGTCAATACCAATCAATATATGGCTACCGCACAGCATTCTGGGGGATGTAGGCAGAGGAAGCAAAAAACATTAAAATAAAATTTAAAAAGATTTTTAACCAAATAATCTTCAAAACAGATTAATAAAAAAAAGATTAAACTTGGATTGAAGTGGGAAACAGCAACGATGATCTTCAGCTAAACTTTATGGAACTACATTGTTCTCGACAATCTAGATTAATTATCAATAAAACTCATTTTTCAATGAACATTTTTTTTTCATTCTGTTTTTTCAGAAGAAATTCACATAAAATCTAAAATAAGTCACATTTTCACACTAATGCATCATTTTGAGTTCATTGCTGGTCAGGTTGTGGTGAAGCTACCTCCCACCTGCAGGTGGCAGTATTTATTTTACTCCTCTGCTGCCTCATTTACCATCATAAATTTGCACAAATATCACAAAATTCACTGCAAATATGTATAATTTATCTCCACAAAATCTTTTGATCTAAATATAAATCCTGGAGGAACGGATCAAATTGTTATTGTAACTTATTGAAAGCAAATATTTATTAATATTTAACAGTATAAAGTGATTTTTCTGTGGCGTTAGATTAAATAATGTAGTAAATATGTTCCTGGACGGTTTAATGTTTATGGATCATTTTACCATCATGCTGCTCTCGCTGTTCAGGTCCTGGCAACTCAGACTCTCCCAGCATTGGCTGGCTGCTCCTCTGGCTCCGCCCACAACCACCACGGCCACCAATAGCCACGCAGGACTCATGATCCTGTCCACCAATCAGAAACCAGAACATTTCATGGCATTTTTATCCACATTTTGTTACAAAATGAGATGAATATTAAACAGAAATAAAATACTGAACATTTTAATGACTGTAATTAATAATTAAACTGCTATCATGAATTAAAATAAAACATTTAAGGTGAAATTCAAAAACATTACAGTTTATTTTAAGGTTTTAGCTAAAAAAAAACTTTTCTGTTTTATTTAATAAAACATTTTAATTTCTGATGAACAGATTGAAAAATTAAAACTCACTTCAGTTTGATGTTACTTCTTCTGCTTCTTATTGCTGGTGGATTCTGGGAGGTGAAGACTTCTTCTTGGTTGCTCTTGTCCTCTGAAGCTCAGAGCAGCTCGTTTATATCCTGGCCGTCAAGGACACACACACACACACACACACACACACAGAGAGAGAGAGAGCGTAACATCATTCATGGATGGTGGTCAAATATACACACTACCAATCAATGGAGCATCTGCCTCCCTCCTCACCTCCCATCACAAAAACATTTTTTCCTCCCAGCTTTTATTTCTTTATTCTTGAATGTCTGATGATGTTTTTTTTCCATTTTCAGGGCTTAATAATAATCTAAGCATGTCATGTGCGTCCTGTGTGAAAGGCCACAGGCTGGTTTGTCGGATTAGCGCCCAGGTGTGATGCGGTAACCGCGGCAGGCTGGGATTCAAACCAGCAGCTGCTGCTTTTGTTCTTCCTCAGCGGCGCTAATCACCGATTAGCTGATTTTCCAGGAAGTTCAGCTGCTCTTCACTCAGCAGGTTTTCCATCACAGACTTTAATAAAAACAACAGGAGTTTCATCGTAACGTTCACAGTTCATCAGCCAAGGAAACGCTCTGCTAATTTGCTAACTATTAGCTTAGCACTGCAGCGTTTCACTAAACTGGAAACATTTAGCTTCCTGTAATTACTCGGCTGGTTTGTAAACTTTCTCAATGAATAAAAGTTTATCAACAGTTAAGATTCAACAACTAATCAGATTTATCAGTTATTAAAATAATTGCCAACTAATTTAGTAGTCAATTAATCGTGACCTGGACTCTACAGACTCTGAAAATTAATTTGATCTTTGACCTTTTAATCCCTTAAATCCAACATTTAGCTGATATTTTACTGCTGCTGGTAAACCACTTGGTTGCACTGAATTAGCATCAAAGTTAGCATGTGGCGACAGTGGGAGGGAATAACTCGCCTTAAATAGAAGGAGCTTCCAGCTGAACGGAGCTGGTGTGAGCGTCACCATGAGGAGAGAAAGAGAAGTTTCTCTAAAAGGTGAAGGAAACATTTTAAAGAAACCAGACGGTAAAACTTCTCACTTCATTTATTTATTTATTTTCCTCCAGCTTGAATCTAAATAATATTTTAAACCATTTTACAGAATAGTTTACATGTAGTCAGCACTTTTCTGTGGATGTAAAATAAATATTCAGAAGCTGAAATGTTGACATGCTAGCGGCTAGTTGTTAGCGTAGCAGCCAGTCAGGAACGCCTTTAATTTCTCTTGCTGCTGATTAGCTGAACCCCAAACAGGGAATCTGAGGAAGGCTGCTAGCTTTAGCATTCGCATTAGCTGCTCTCATCAGCAAACCTGAGGAGATATTTGGAGTCTGAAGCGTTAAAATCAGCAGCTGCAGAGATTTCAGAGCAAAACTCTCAAAAATTCAAAATTTAACATTAGAATCCCAGTTCAGATAAAACATCTGGAATTAATCTGATTTATTTATTATCAGGTCTGAATTTCCTCCAGCAGCAGAACGTTTTCCTGACGCAGATCTCTGATCTTCATTTGTTTTTATGAAACAGAAATTCAGTTTTTGTTTTTCTGAACGTTTAAAGTTTCGCTACTTAAAGTCGTTCAGACGGAGAATCGTTAATGGACCGACTGGACGCAGAACCCATTAGGCCCTCAGCCTTGAACATTCAGTCCATTAGAGACACACACACACACACACACACACACACACACACACACACACACACACACACTGATGTCCTGGAAAGAAAAAAACAAAGCAGGAAGCGATGAAGTCAGAGCAGAAAAACTTTTCCTGTTTTTAACTTTATTTTTCTTACCATTTTACTCGCATATTAAATATTTTCCATTTCCTGATTCTGAGGAAAATTTTATTAAATGTTAAAGATAAAATTCAACTTTAACTCATTTATCACTTTATTCTTCATTTAAAGGATTTTAAATTAATTATGTTATTAATGTTTATGATTGAACTAAAACATCTGAACAACATAATTTAATAGATTTGGACATGAGGCTGAAGCTTTTTTTTTTTTTTTTTAAATCATATTTTATAGAAAATGTTTCCAGATGTTCAGCAAACTGACCATCAGAGCTGTTAGATTTTTGGTTTTTCTGAGAATTTAAAAACATTTTCTGATTTTATCCCTAACAATAGAAATAAATATTAGAGATAATTAATCTTCAAATGTTTCAAACCAACAGAGTTCAGGTCATAAACTCTGTAAATACTGAAGTCTCTCGTTATGTTTAATAAAATAAAGTATTAACGGTGCAGTACCGCGGGACTCCAGCAGGTGGCAGCAGCGCACTGAGCGCTCAGCTCCCTGTTTTAGAAAACCAAAGAAACTCCAAACATTTATACTGTAAAAACTGTTTCTGATCAATTAAATACCTGCAGTTCCTTACCGTTACCAGCAGGGGGCGCTGTTTCCCTTCAGGACCTGATCAATAAACTCTTCCTGCTGTGGATGACGTCACTTTGCGGCACAACAACATTTTAATTCATATTTCTATTTTTTTCTTTTCTTATGTTTGTGTACAATGTCAATGTTTCAAAATTGCTAATAAAATTTAAAAAAATTAAAATTTCTATTATGTAATTCCATTGTGTGGCCGCCAGAGGGCGCTCTGACCACAAACATGAACAAATGGAATAAAATGATTTTTTTTGTTTTTTGCTTTTGAAGTAAACAAAGTTTTTCTGAACATTATAGAAACTTCAAATGTAGATATTAGTTATTAATTAATGACGTAATGCTGAGTGAACCAGAACTTTTACTAAAATATTTTATCAGCTGGATAATAAATATTATTAAATCATTTTACACATAAATAAAATACAGAGAATAAATAAAAACCTTCTAACTCAGTTAAAATTAACAATAATAATTAATATATATGACATAATTTCCTGCAGTTTCTCCTCCAGATTGATCCCAGAGCATATTTATTCATACCCCGCTCTGGTGCAATTACCTTTAAATTCAAGAAATCAAGAAGGGAAAGAAATGAAAACAAAGGTGTGTGTGTGTGTGTGTGTGTGTTTCCACCTCACTGATCCGTTGACCCAGTTCCTGACTGAAGTCCCTGAGGATCAGCCTGTTAGTGGGTGGAGCCTCAGGAGGTCACATGACCCGGATCAGGACTTTGATTAGACCAGATGTGACGATCTGTGGAATTAAATTAGAATCAGGTTTTATTATTATTATTATATAATCTATAATGTTTAAATTTGAAACAGTTTGCAAACAGCAGGAAATGTTATAAATGTGTTGAACCAGAACATGATTTTATTTATCATCATTTATTTAATTTTCTTTTGGAATTAATAACATATTTTTAATTTAATTTTAATTTATTGTTTAACCAAAAATTCATATTAAATAAACTGAACTGAACATTTTTATTATTGTTTCTTATGTCACTTTTGATGCTGATCAATAAGTTTCACTGATTATCTGCAGCTTTCAGGTTAAAAACCAGAGAACAATTAGGAGACAACAGGGGTTCAAACTGTGGTTCAGGGACCATTTGAGGCCCTCGGAGGAACTTTAAACGGCCCTTAGTCACAATCCAAAATTAGCAAAAGTTTCTTCAGAAAACATACAATTAAAATCTTAACATAGAAAATATAAGATCCAACAGAGAGTTTAAATTTAATATAATTTATTAGTAATAAAAACCAAAACTGACTTTAATAAACCTAATAAAATGAAGCTGAACTGAGATGAAGAACCGGAAATGTTTTTTTAAACCTGGAGTCATTTTTCTGTTTAAACTGTAGAATAATTTACATTTTTCATTTACAGAAATCTGTTTATTTTATTAAAATATTGAGTTTATCGTTTATTTACACATAAATGAAGAAATAATAGATTCTGTAACTTTAATAGATTCTGTAACTTTAATGAAAAAGAAAAATACTGGAGATGCTGGAATAGTTTCAACTTGACTGATAGAGACCAGTAAGACCAGTAGAACTAGTAGAACCATTAAAACCAATAGAACCATTATAACTAGTAGAACCATTAAAACCAATAGAACTATTAAGACCAATAGAAGTAGAACCAGTAGAGCCATTAAAACCTGTATACCCATTAGAACCAGTACACTCATTGGAACCAGTGGTACCTCTGATGTTCTGTCTGACTGCCTCTCGACGTCTCGGCCCAGCTGGGCTCACAGAGCAGAACAAACGGCGCCACCTTAATCCGATTATCCACCGTGTGAACGATGCTTCCTGAGACGAGCAAAGATGGCCGCCAGCATCAAGACGGCGCCACGCTGCCTTGGCTCCAGTCGTGGTCCCAGCGGGGCTGACGGCCCGGCGGCTCCAGATGATGATCCAGGTTCTGTTCGGTTCTGTGGATAATTCCTGTTTCTGCTCAAACTGAGCCGAGACGATGACGATGATGATGATGACCTCACTGAACGCTGCGGCAGCCGCATGGAGATGTCTGCTTCCTCTAACGCCGCTGACCCGTTCTGCTTCCTTAAACCGGACCGGACCGGTCTGTGGCCTAAACAAAACCTTCATCACATTTCATCACTAAACCTTCCTGAGTTGATCAGATTTCAGTTCTGACCTGTTTTAGAGGCCCTGTCCTTTCCAATTCAAATAACGTTTACAAACAGAAGCACAGATATGCAGCCAAACAGCTTTGAAAAGCAGAAGTGAAGCCTCCTGTACAGTCAACCAGAAAGCAGTAAGAGCTTTCTGGATGATGCGGTTGCTAGGTAGCAGGCAGGTCTTTGATCAGTGAGCTCAGTATTTATCAGTTTGTTGGAGTTTTATCAATATGTTCTGGTGCTACCGGCCCTTTAAGACTCACGATGTGGCTCAGGCTGAAATCTTCATGATGAAAACGATTGAAGAGTTTAGAGGATTTTGTTCCAGAACGTGTTGATAAAACTAATAAATACCCTTCCTTTGCTTCCAGTGAGAATTTATTTAAATTAAACACTATAAAACATATTTTCATATTATAACAACTGTTATGATTAAGGTTTTATTCATTTGGTCCAGACGGCCACATAAAGACTTATGGAGAGTCAGATTTGGCCCACAGACCTCGAGTTTGACGGAGATGTTTTAACCGTATCAGATTGTTTTTACACACAGAAGAGGAGAAAATCTGCAGCATTTAACTTTTAACTTCCATTTCCTGCACTTTGTTTTCTTGTTTCTTTATATTTGGATCTTTTATGCGTTTCCTGTATGTTTGTACCTCCAGGCCACCGTACTTTAACGACTTTTCCACATTCATCTTCTGGCTGTTCGGTCAGCTTATCTACAGTTTTATATTTTCTGCTGTGACAGATTAATTGAGCCAAGTTTCCACAGAAATGTTATAATATGTCCAGTTTTTATTTCTAATAAACCTATTCTTTTAATTTCCTTGTTTTTCTTGATTTTTATAAATTTTCTTTTAGATTTTTTTTATGTTTTCTTGGGCAGTATTTACTATTTTATGTTGCATTAGGTGTTACATTTTATATTTAAATGAGGAAAAAACAGCCATTTTTAGATTTTCTTTTATATTTTCAGTTCCTCCATTTGTCTAGGTTTAATGTTTAATTTCCGGTATATTTTATTTGCCGTATATTTAATATCTCAGCCCAGCAGCAGTTTGTTATTTCTGCATCATAATCTGTTTAAATCAGATGAATTCCCCTGCAGGAGAATTAATTCATCTGAATTTCAACGCTGAGAGGAAAAGTTTTACAGTTTTACAGTAACAGCTGCTGACAGCAGCGTTAAGTCAGCCGGCCTGATGGTGGCGCCGTGAGCTCCAGATGTTGATGCCCAGGAGTTTGTAGAGACCCAGATTTGTCGGATCAATCCGCCGCGGCAGTAATTACCCGGTGATTAGCCGATGATGTGGAATCGCTGTGAATCTGACTTATTAACGAAACATTAATTGCTGTGTTTCATAACAGCCAGCTGGCTAATTGTCCTGTAATTGGTTCAGACTCTGACGGCGTCTGTGTGCCGCCGCCTGAAGGCTCGTTGTGGTGAAAACACAACGAGCTGAAACGCTCCGCTGCCTTCAGCCGGGAAATCACTGAGAGCGTCAGGCTGGAAGCTGGGAGAGATTCTGACAGGAAAACAGAAACGACTCCAGACCCGGGATAAATCACAACCTGGCAACACAGACCAGCACCGCTCTGCTAACTGGGCTCACAGCTGTGAAGCATGGTGGTGGCAGAGTCATGACATCCTCTGTTCAAACTAGACGTTACCAACTGTTTGTCCTAAATCTTCTAAACAAATACAGTAAACAAATCTAATGACATTAAGATTAGATAAAATATGGATGAAGATTTTAAAAAAAGTCTGACACCTAAAATCTAAATTCTCATTTTGGCACTAATACTCTTCTGTAGAAAAAATTAAATAAAATCAATGCTGTCATGTAGTGAGTTTTTATGGTTCATAACTGAGAAAGAAAGAAAAATGATGTGAAAATCCTTAATTACACAACAGATGATAAAAATGATACAGATAAATAATAATAATAATAATCTAATTGTAATAGTCTTTCAGATCATCACTCCTCCACCACCGTGTTTTTCTCTAGCTCTAACACACATACACACACTCCTGACCTGATGAGGATGATTCTGCCTCTTCATCCACCTTGACCTCTGACCTTGAAGTGTGCGGCCTCACATCACACATCAAACTCAGATGACACCTGACCACACCCCGTCACGGCACCCCGAGCCTTCAGACGTAATAACGCTGACCTCTGACCCCTGCCGTTGTGCTCATCAGCTGATGAACTGTTGAGCAGAGAAGCTGCTCCGTCCCGGCTCCAACTGGGCCGTGATGTTCCGCCATGTTGCCTCCATTAGCGAGTAGAGGAGCCCCGCGCCGCCCCGCTGCTAATTAAGGAGTGAGCGATGGCGGCCGCGGCTCGTTACGGCCGCAGCAGAGCGTCTCTCTCCCGGCTAATGATGCCGGTTCCGCGGCGTTTCATCGGCGGGTTAACGCGGCTGTTGACTCCGAAGCCCAACCCGCAGCAGACTCATTACCAGCGGGGCGACATCACTCAGCCCGCCGCTGCAGACTACGGAAGCCCAGGAGTCTGGATCAGAACCACTGTAATGAGTTAACTCTGCGAAACATAATCAGTTCTCCGCATTTAGAGAAAACATGCAAACTGTTTGACTCAACATGTTTTACATTAAACTGATAGAGAAACGAAACATGGCGCCGTTTAATGAGCCGAGGTTAAATGAATAAATCTAAATGTAATTGATGAATTATTATCTTATTGTTATGCTAAGAAGAAAAAAGAGAATATAAACTGAAAAATACAAAAATAGTCATTATGCGATGGGGAAAAAAATGTAATCCAACTGCATTTGCCTATAAAACCCGCTCCAAAAGTAGGAAGTGGACTATATCGCAGGGCATTCTAGGTAAATACAACTAAAGCTAACGTGCTAGCCTAGCGCTAGCAGAAAGACTGGTTAGCTGTCTTTAGCCAAAGAAAAATAACCGCTAAAATCTGACACCTCCATTTTGTTTCCATTTGTTGAAGAAGGAAGTTGCCTCAGGTTTTTGTGTCCTTTCCTTCAGTGGTTGTTGGTGCAGCGCCCCCACAGCCCAGGAGGGGAACAGGCTGCTCAGATCGTTAACGCAGTGAAGCGTAAAAGCGAATCAACCGGCTAGCAGATGGTGATTTCATCAGATGGTGGCACCATGCCTGGCTTTAATTATAGATAATAAAATAATATTAGTGAATTTATACTGAAAGTGAAGATTTTTATTGTTTATTTTAATATTTGAAACTCCTGAAATTTTGCGTTTTGATTTTGTTTGCGTGTTTTAAAGTATTTCATTATATCTTTAATTTGTAATGTTTGTAGAAATATGATTTTATCGTTTGGACAGCAGGAAGAGGCGTCTGTGCTCTCAGGGATCCTTAAACAGGAAGTAGCGATTGCTAACTAGCATGTTTAGCTCTGGTGCCATCTCAGTGTTTTCTAAAACCAGCTGAATTTAGCCCAGTTTTCCTCCATTTCCAGCAGCCATTCACGTTTATGTAGCTTACCTTTAAGGATTTAAAACAACCTGAGATTCATTTTAAATTTGAACTCTTCATGGAGCAAACGTTTCAAGTTTTTAGAGAGCTGGAGCCTCGTTTATCTTCCTCTGCTGAACCTGGCAGCTATGACCAAAACATTTGAGTAAAATGACAAATTGTCCCTTTAATCTGCGGCTGGACAGGAAGTGAGTGTCTTCAGTTCCTGTTCGTCTCTCAGCTCTCATTAGGCCTCTTAGCCGAGACGCTGAAGCAGAACTAAACGCCGCTGATGTTCAGCCAGCGATCTGTCACAGCTTCATCGGCTCAGAGCAGAAACCCGACAAGCTGACTGACTGCTGCTCCACAAACACAGATATACTAAATACTGACACCATTTAAACACAAACTAAATAAACTAATTAATCTGTTTATTATTATATTAATCTTTGACTGTCAGAAACAAAATGGAGGTTCAGTTTCCAGTCATATTTTCTTCATGTTAGTCATTTATTAAAGCAACAGTTCTAACTCTTTAACAAACTAAGTTATTACCTAACTAAAAATATTATGCATGAAGTATATAGTTTACAAACTAAATGTTTGAAATTAGATATTTAGGCAATATAAATATGATAACTTCATGTCATCGTTTCTTTTTCAACAATTCAGACTTAGGAGTCAGTCTGAACCCAGCTTTTATTTTGATAGTCCACTTCCTCTTATTAAATTTAATTAGCTAAACATTTAGCTAAACATTTCATTTGTAAATTCTGTTTTTGTTAATTCTAAGGTAAATATTTGGTTGGAGATAAATTATTAGTTTGCTTAGTAAATATTAATGAATTAAAATTGCTACTTAATATTTAGATTGGAGCTAAAAATAAATAGCTTGCTAGCTAAATTTTTAACTTCAAATCAAATGCTTAGCATGCTAACTACTTAAGTTGGAGCTAAATGTTTATTTTAGAATAAAATGAAATTTATAAATGAATAACATGATAAAACTAGCAGTGAAAACTGATCCCGTGTTTTCCAGGTTAAAAACTCAAGTCATTTCCAAATGGCTCCAATCAGAACAGATGTGGCTGTGAAGATTCATGAGAATCACATGGAATCACCTGGAATCATCAGTGAAGGTCGGTGAAGGTCAGTGAAGCCTGGTCTCCTCGGCTGTGAGAACGAGGCGGCAGACATGAAGCACCAGGTGCTAACAACGTTACGGTGGCGGAGCGTTTCCTGTGAGAACGTTTGGAGCAGACAAGGCTGCCATTCATGCTGCTGGTGTCGAATGGAAACGGGTTCGGGTCAGACGGGCCTCATGCTGTAATAGGACGCCACTCAGTCCACTCAGAGGAAACCCAAATTTAGCCGCCTTCTCGACTCATCCAGACGCTGCAGCAGCTACTGAAGCTGCAGTAATTCAATCACTGCATTCTGGAGGCTTTGAGGTAAAAACGGCCTGATCTAATTAGCGCCTCATCTTCCTCGTCTTCCTCATCTGTGAACGCAGCAGAAACTGTCTGTTCTCACTGATGCTGCAGGCCGAGGTCAGAGGTCACGCCTGAAGACACAGTAAAGGCACCTGATTCTGAGGCGATCCAGTTTATCTGCTGAAACGCTCAGGAGGAAAAACGAGACGATTCATCCCAAAGAACAGGAAGTGTTGACAGAGATGGTAGAAACATGAATGATTGTCACTCTGAACATTTACAGGAAGAACATTTTCTTCCTGCACTTTGAATTGCCTTGTTGCTGAAAATGTGCTATATAAATAAAATTACCTTACCTTACCTCTCCTGTAGCTCAGAAATGTCTGACATTGATCAGAACATTTCAGAGTTTCTGGTGGAAATGTTCTCCAGTTTTTTTATGATTTCACACTTCGCCGTGGGAACGTCGCCGTGGGAACGTCATCTTGCTGCAGAGCGTCTCCTCTGACAATCGTAGGTTTTTCTGCTGTCACAAATGAACTCTGACCTGATTCCAACTCCGTTTCCCTCAGGCCTCCTTTCCTCCTCCATCTCAGCGACAAGCACCTCGGTTCTGCTAACGAGTGGAAACGAGGCGTTGAGCTGCTGCTGGGGGCCAACAGGACGGGGACACGGAGGGCCAAACAGGAAGTCCTGATCCACTGCCACGCTGTCACCGAGC